CTTGAAATATCGCCCTTCTTTTGTTTGTGCTGATTTATGGAGGTACCAGCCATGGCCATGCTACACTGCTCGGCTAGCACTTTATTTCCCCGACTGAAGAAATTACCCAGCTTGTTTATGTAGAAGGGAGGAGGGCTGCCGTAATTACTGTATAATGGTGCATGCAGGAGTCTGTTGGTTGGTTGGCGATCGACTGTACAGAACAAACCAAGCCTTAAGGTCGGGTTTAATAAGGTAAAAAGAGAAGCAACAGATTGTAGGGTGAGATGGGGCTGCACTGACACTGCAATACATTATACATACAAATACACAGTCGAGACAGTGAATACTTAAAAAGAAAGTAGTTGTGGTGCTATATTCTGTGACAAAGTATTCTGTACAAAGCTTTAAATAATCCCCCTGCTCTCACGCCCTATTTTCTATTTTCAGACCTGGCTCGTTCTCATTGTTTTAGCACTTTTGGGGCTTGTTTTCACTCCGTGTGCCATGAGTAGCAGCTTCCTTTGTTTTTAATAAGATGATTAGGATTGTATAATTAATTACTTTACAGGGACATTTTCAGACTATTAATAGTATTCACATAAAAGGTTCTGAAATTAAAATTGCTTTGTTTCTGATGACATCACAACATTCTATAGGCCAATAGTATTTAAAGGTGCATTGAGCAACTTTTCTGGTGGAGGGTCCGTCAAATGTAGCCTGAGTCATCAGCCGGTTTCACTGTAGAAACTGTCTGACCTTGCAGCAGAGGGATTCGTTCACTCGATAGTAGAAGGATACTTTTTAACTTAACCAATCACTGCTATTTGGTCATGATGTATGTAATGCGCCACTAACGGGGCTAAAATCCCGTAGGATGAAGGGCAATAACGTCTTTCCCCTTGATAAAATTCATTCTCTTTGTTCCAGCTTTAAATCCTTGATCTCAGGAATCGTTGCCAACACAGAATGTATGGCCTAGTCTACATCCATCCTGACCCCTTTGTTTACTGTTGTGCTGTACCAAAAAAGGGACCCAGTCATAGCTTCACAGCTCTTTGCCGATTGACTGGTGCGTGGGCTACAACTTCTGGGGTTCTTGCAAACCGTTTAGTGTAACCGATTCCTGACCTAGTCGCTGTAGAGAAATGAAATTGAGTGGAGGCACTAGGCGGCACAAGCCTTGCTACGCCAAATGCTCTTCTCCATGGAGATGTCACTGCTTTGTCTGGAATGTTTCACAGTGTGGTATTAAACCTTTCTATCTTCATGGACACTAAACCAGATCAGGTCAAATGTGTGGAGAGCCAACCCTGCTCACAGTCAGAATTCCTGTTTTTTTAGGTGTTTTTGAGCTATTAAACCACCTGTGATTTAATAAATGTAAGGTAGAGCTGTTTATTCCAGGCAGAGCAATGGCATATCCACGGAGAAAAATATTTGACGGACCCCCTGCCAGAAAAGTTACATACATTGCACCTTTATTACAGATGGGGACAGCTAAAATTAAAATGCTAGAATGCTGATTTTTGTTGTAATACAGTGAATTCTTGGGTGTAGTCACTGATAGAATTGATCACATTCAACATTTGTGAATTTTTGGATACTTCATGCCAAAGTACAGTGTAATCAAGAGGAAATCTGATCATCACTTGTTACTAGAATCTGAAAACTACAGTTAAAGCAATAATAGAAAGGATTCTGTAAGGTGTTGCAGTATACTGTATATTTTAACCACTATATTACTTCAAGTACCTATAAATTCATGTCACGTTTTACTTTGTGAAAACTGAGGCCCTTGTTGTGATCTTGCCTGGCCAGCCAAGACCACACACTTTTCCTTTTCTGTACAAAGACTCACAAAGACAGTCTGGGCCCTGATCCTATTTCCCAGAGCTCAGAAGGACGTATTGACTCATGGTTTCCCCAATTAGAGAAACGCATGTCTGTTTATGTCAAAACAAACAAGGTGTTATGAGGAAAAAAAGAACAAAATATTAGAGGACTGAGGGATTGCACAGGTTTTGCAGAATCAATTCACAAAAGAATAAACTATGAAGTAAGTAAGTAAGAGGTATCACGACACAAATGCTACAAATAAGTGATTGTGATTTTCTATAGCCTGGTTCCTGCATTTGAACAGAAAGTAGAAGGGACTGCGTTCGGGGCAACTAAACCCTGTTAATATGAGATGAGAGATTTGATTTTATTCTTGTGATAGATGACCAATGAGCTCCTCCGTTTCCCATCACTGAGATAAACAAATCTGACTTCATGGCTCTGAGTTTGGCCTCTGATCTTCTGTATTGATACTTTGCAGCTGATGTTGTCAACATTTCCTGAGGGTGTGAAGCTAACTAAAAGCACTGCTCTGTTTGAAGCTTTGTAACAAGTTAGACTTAATCTGAGCTTTATTTTAACACAGTCTGACCAGAGAGATCTGACTTGGTTGGATCTACAACACGTGGACTGATTTGTGCTGTTAAACTAATCTCTAATGCTCATATTAATCACAGGCTCCTGAAAATGTGTAGTTTAAATTCATTTTGTATTATTCAGACTATTTTACACAATTTTTGACAGTGTTTGCTAATGTGTGCGTTGTGTCTTCATGGTGACTGATGAACATTCTGCCAATAGACATACATGTAGAACACCCCCAGCATGATGTCGCTGCAAAGTGTAAAATAAAATATACAGTGAGCCCCAGTCTATATAAAATCAAGAAATAGCATGATTCTTTTGACTTTGAGATCCAAACAGCATGTCGTTTGTATGTATCTCTTCAAATGGACTGTTCCTTTGGTTTTTGTTCATTATTAGATATTTGTCTTCCTTCTATAACAACATCCTGTCTCACTTGTCAAATGCCAGTGTGGAGTATAAATCCTTGTGCTGATTAGTTTTGATCACAAACCTGTCACAGCCATTTTCAGTTTACAGTTTTCACTTTATCTCAGTCACTTGTCATTTTTAAAATAACTTATTTTGGCTTTCTCTAACTTTGTTTCATGTTTCGTAACGGTTTCCTCTCCCTCTCCTGGAGCTCAATTGTCAGAAGAGACACAGAATTTGTGCATTGATACTTTACAGCTGATGTCACCAACATTCCCTGGGAGTGTGATGGTAACTGTAGGCAGTGCTCGGTCTGGGGCTTTGTTAGACTTTAATTTGAGTTTTCATTTGACACATCCTGACCATACAGAACTGACTTAGTTGGAACTACAACAGGTGAGCAAACACAGATGATCTTAAAACTTAATGTGTGCATCATATCTTCATGGTAACAGATGAGCATTCTGCCAATACACATACATGTAGAACACCCCCAGCGTGATGTCACTGCAAATGATCAGTTTAGAGGTTACAGTGATGTTGTGAACTCAGCAGATGGGCACGTACATCTGAGAGCTTACAGACCTGTGTACAGACCACCTATGGCACCGCTGCAGTCTCTTATATAAGCAGACTGAAGTACACCATCAGCACTATCATCTGCTGCCAGGCTCGTACAGAATTATATTAAGCACAGAGAGTTTCACTTTACCTCTGTTCACCCACGGGCTTACTGTTTACCCTGCAGCCATGGTCAAAACCTCAGCAGCAGCCATTTCCAACTCTTTCACCTCTTTCTTTTGCTCAAACTTTGCCCTTTTCTTCCAGCCTATTTCACATTTTACTTTATGGCAGCGCTAATGCCAGCTTTTATACCTGCACTGGCTCAATGACTGCATTTGCAATCTTTCTGGGATCTACATTAAACTCCTAAAATATGATTTTACTGAGATAACTCCGGTACATTGTCTGCTTGTTTCCATTAACCTCCTGAGACCTGAACTTTGGTTTAGTATGCGTTTTAGATAGCTTCTAACTTTTTGAGGCAAGTGAGAACCAATATATGCAATAACCAAATAACATCACTTCACAGGAAGGTCTTCATATGTGAACATGTCATATGTGGATATGTCGGTCTGAATTCACTCAAAACACAGTAAAGACACCATTATGTAAACCTGTCTTAGACCTAGTTAGAACCAGTTTAAATCCTGTTTGAGCCCGTCTGAATCAGCACAGTACCAGTGTGAGCCTGTCCAGGTCTAGTGAAGGTCTAGTCCAGATCTCGTCTGAATCAATCAAGACCCAATCAGCACCAGTCTAACCCCTTGCAGAACCAGCCCAGAGCCATTCTTAGCCAGTCTTAGTCAGTCCAGCCAAACCAGTCCAAAACCAGAAACCATTAATAACCAGTCCAAGCCTAGTCTGAATCAGTCAGAACTGGTCAAAACCTTGTCCAGTCAAAATCCAAAACCTAGTCCAGATCTAGTGTAAACCAACCCAAATCCTGTCTGTTGATGTTTTATATCCTAGAATGTTACACAGTATGCCATTATATCTCCATGAGGTGACCCTGCTCACAGTACATGTTTTTCCAATTTTTTGTTATTGGTAATAAAAACCTTGGTGAATAAATGCAAGACAGATAAGTTTATGCCATATATGGAACCTTCCGAGACAATGCAATAACGTCTCCATGAAGAAGTAGGTGACAGAAACATTTTAAAGCACCCCTTTTAATTTTTCAGATTATGATAGCTTTCTGTATATTTCATTCTATATTGTACCAAATATATTGCATTACATTTAATATTTAATAGATAAAGACATTTGGAATACTGTGGTGTATTTATGTGGTTTGATTAAACTTGAATACATATATAGGCTAGTTGTCACCAATAATACTCTTAAATTGCCATACTTATGTTATACATTTGATAATCTAGCCGAAGGAGGTCACGAAAAGCCAGTGTTTTTGTAATAATCATAATTGCTATGATCATCTCTAAATTATGGTCCATCTCAACCCTACCCCTGCTCTCACTAATGCTGCTATTATTTTTAAATGGTGGAATTTTGCTGTTGACCTAAATAAAATCCTTCATGACTCAAATCCCAGCCCACTGTTTGTGAAGACTGCTGAAGGCATAATATTTATATAATATTTTTCTTTTTACTCTTTCCAGGACTGGGTGTTCCTCACTCGATTCTGCTTTCTCACGGACTTTGGACGCCTGGATTTCCGGTTCCGATATCCAAAGGTAGGATTAGTGGATTAGGGATGATTTTATTATTTTTCCTTTTAATACCTAATTTCTGTTGACCAACCTACATGATATGAGTCACAATATAACACAAATATGTTTAACTGAGATATTAAATAGTCACAGATTATGGCTGGTTGCGGCAGGACGGAAGGGCATCTGGCGTTAAACCTGTTGTGGCACCCCCTGAGAGGAAGAGGGCAGCTACAACAGGCTTTATCACAGTTTGACACAAAGCTCAGAATGGACTCTTGTTTTTACACAACACATTTTTTTTAGATAGCAATTGTTTATTGGCATGGAGCGAAAAGAACATTAATGGTGCACTATGTAACCAGCATGTCTCCATGGAGATGTTATTGCTTTGCCTGGAATGTTCTACAGAATGACATTAAACATGTTGTTAAACCATGGAGACAATGCAAGTGGCACGAAAAGGGTAAGTTAAATATATATTAGAATTACAATGCATAATAAAATAAATGAAAGATAGACAAATTTCACGCTATACTGTGGAACATTCCAGGAGCACTCCATGGAGGTGCCCCCCTCACCAAAAACTTATAGTGCTACTTTTAATGTTGTATAATTATTAACTGTTCATGTGCTCTGACAGTTCACACACAAATGACAATCCTAATTGGCAATGCCTGAATATTAAAGGTCTTTACTACAATTGACTACAATGAGCTTTAAGCCATTTTATGTTGTTGTTTCCTCATCAAAAACATACCTGAAGTGTATTGTTTCATTCACATGTCTTCTGCACTCTTCTCTCTTCTCTTTTAATGTTAATTTTATGATGATTATTTATATTTTGATTTGTTAGTATTGGGATTCTGTTTTTCTTATTCTGTAAAGCACTTTGAATTATTCTGTGTATGAATTGTGCTATACATATAAACTTGCCTTGCCTTGTCTACATCTCCAAAGCTCAAAATGCTCTGTTTCACCTTGTGATGTCATTAAGCTGTACTTTTCAAGTTAAGAGCTACCATTTATCTTTTGTTCAGTAGAGCTAGGCAATTCCAGGGTTGAAATTATCCAAATTCTAATCCTGATTCTAATGAAGGTGTGTGGAGTTTTAAAACAGAGAAGCACTTCCTTATTTCATTACCACATGACATCACAAGGTGGAGCAGTGTTTTCTGTTTGTTAGAAGAACTCAGCCTAAAACAGAGCACTTGTATATTTTTGATGAGTAAACAACACTATAACATAGATCAGAAAATAGCATAATATAACATAACTTTAACATGCATTTTTGAGTTATGAATTAAAAACAAGAAAATCACAACACAAGGCAACAAAATGTAAATTATATTACTAAACCACAATCATCATAAAATATGCATCCGGTGTTCAACCATGTATCTGCCTTTTCAATGTCGCTTCCAGTCTCCTTTGCTCTTACTTTCCTCCTCTCCCTATTCTATCCCCTGTTCCTGTCAGTCTATTCCCAGTGCTGTCTACTGTGTTCCTCCGCTCATCTGTGGCGCTCGTAGCCCGCAGACTCTACCAACCATTTTTCCTCCTAAAACGCCATAAATCAAGCCATCTCACTCCTCTGTGATCTACGCACATCCCCGGCGCCCCTGCCTCTCCCTTAATCTCATTCACTCTCTCTCCCCTTCTCCTCCCCACAGTCCCGATGCTGTCAAAACATACTGCTGTATTTCGACGACACCTCTCAATGGCCCGCCGTGTACAAGAGGCCGGAAAAGGTGAGGAAACCACTTTGCACTTCTCTCTCCATCACTGACAAGACCTAATTAAACTCAACACGCTCGAGCATTAACTAATTCAGGACATTGACGTGCCAGGACCCTTGACTTGTATTTACTTCTCTGGATTCAATCGCCTATTCTGCCTGTTTTTTTTAAAGTATACAGGCTTCACACAGGCAGCTAGTAATGTATTATTGATTGCAAATGGAGTGATCAAGCTTAGAAGAATCGATATTTGCGTAAAGATCAGGTTGGGTTCGGCAGGCTCCAGTGGTGGAAGAAGTATTTAAGTAAAAGTAGAGATACCGGAGCAAAGAAACACCCAAGAGAAGTATCACATGAAAAAATAAAGTCCCTGTTTAAAAATGCACTTAAAGAGTAAGAAGTATTTTGTGCAGAGTCTGAGATCTTATAAAGCTTCAAACGTAGTTCATCACAAAAGTGAATTCATATTTTTTTCGTTGCTGTTTTTATTTGTATGTTTTTGTTTGCTCAAACTACAAATGTGTGAAAAAATAAACCCCTCAGCCTTTTCAGCAGGTCTCACTCTATAAATAATAAAAACTTTTACTTTTCAGTCCAGTTCAAAAATGTAGTGGAGTAGAAAGTTCAGATACCTGCTCTCACATTTGATGATGTAAAAGTAACAAGTATTCACTTAAAAATGTACATATACCTGCAATTTTTACTTAAGTGCAGTGCTTTACTACTTTTACATCATTACCTACCACCACTGGCAGGCTCACTGGAAATGACAAAATGTAGAATGTGGATTTGAATATGACGGATCATTATATTAAAATGATATACACTCCATTGTCTTTACAGCTGTATTACGCTGGGCTAACAAAGCGACTGGCCCATTTGTAATATCCATATTCTTCATGCAGCGTGGATTTAATAACAGGCTGATTAATGTTCGTGAGGGTAGATATAGCGGTCTCTCTTTCTCTCTCAGATTTTAATATTATCACTTACAATGTCTAGTGGCAAGTGTGCTAACATAGCGAACTTCTTTTTGTTGTCCAAGAATATGAATTACCCTACTATAGTGTCTAAGCACGACTTTTCACACCCAGTCAGATATCTAGCATTTGTATATCAAAAAGGTTTATTGATTGATTGATTTTTTTTTTCTTTTCAAATTCTATGAAACGTTAAAGCGATATTTAGTCTATAGGATGGGGCAAAATGACATTTTCTCACCCTTCATATAAATCAAGCAGGATTTTCAATACAATATGTCTTATTAAAGTAAATCAAAAAAGGCTTACAATATTGTTTTCCTGAATATTCCCAAGACTTTTAATAATTGTCAATTACTGTTTTTAATAGTATTTTCTTGAAGACATTACAGTCATCATTTCATATTCTAATGTGATCTAATTTGACTTCACATTCAAATTCACCTTACACACGTCTATTCACGTCTCTCCAAGAACAAGAGCAAGCAGTGAAAAAAAGAAGAGACCTATATTTCTATTTTATTTATAATTTACGATTGCACCTACAACAATTACTTTCTTCAGTAAACATTTTAGGAATTTTTATCTCGCTGTGGTGCATAAATAGCCTCCCTTTTATTACTATGTATTACATTGCTCAATAAGTAATCTATCTTTCAGTGGTTAGGCCAGCGTTGTATTATACTGCTCAAAGACAGGTTATGTATGTGAGTATAGTACATTGCAAATCTCATATTAGACTTAGACAAACCTTACGGATCCAGAAGGGTAAATTATTTGGACACAATGGCTCACACACCAAAATAAATATAATATGCATAATTGTATTCATTTTTTAGCATATTTTAATCTCTCAAACATTAAAACTAAACTAAAGATAATAGGATTTATTGCACACTGCTCAAAACTAGCAGTGATATTCCATTTTTCTTCTTTCACTAATTCTCATTGACAATACAAGAAAAACTCTATCCCAGCGGAGACAATACCATCATTTTTAGTTTGACTCAGAAAATGTGTAATAAATCACCATCTGATGTGCTCCCAACTTCAATTACCTCTGGATTAATCACACCTTTGCCTTTTGGTCTTTGCAAAAATAACAGCGCTCAGATACTACTTACAATGCGAGCAGCTGCAGCACGGAGCTCATGCCAGAGGCAACAAGTGTTAATGAAAAATATTCTAATTAGTATCCAAAATAAAAGTGTGAAGAGAATAAACTCCCTTTGTTGATAAAATGAATATGTGCACAGTGTTTGGCATTGAGATTTAGTTTTGGGAACCTTCTGGCCTGTAGGCTTTTCTATTAATTAGCTATTGAGAATTTATTTATAATACTATTTGCTTTGCTATTGTGTCAGGGTGGACCAAATTTATCAGCTACTTAAGATAGTAATGTTAAGGGTAAGAACAATGAAAGTAGATTAAAAAAGGCCAACCTTTTAAGCCTACTCATAATTATAGCAAAAAAGAAAAGGCAACAACAGTAACATGAGGTTAATTTGATCTTCTCATAATTTATTCTAGAAAATTCCTTTTTCAGAAGTTTTATTTATTATTATTATTATTTTTTATATACTTCACTGTTTTGTTGCTGTAACATGTCTGGTTAGCTGATTAAAGACTTACTTATGCAAAATTTTCATAGGTAAACAGAACTGTGCATACCAAGTTTAGCAACCATCACTCCATTTATGCTTCTAAACATTTCTGATGTCTAGGCAGTTTTCTGTTAAATAACCACCAGTGGGCGGTAAATGTTAGTTTGAGAATTGCACAAAACGGAAGAAACAGAGCAACAAATAAACAAACATGGAGGCGCCCGTGGCAGTTTTTAAATTGCACCTGTTGGAAACATGGATCTAGGTTGGAAAAGAGTCAAATAAATTAGGTGAGATTTATTTGTTTTGCAGTCTGTTCTAGTCATTTTAAAAACTTAAGCTTCCACTGTTGAGCTGTGTTCACTACTGCCCCCAGTGGTTAGCTCATATACTGCGGCGTGGCTAAGATTCCACATGGTCTGAGGAGATGGAATAAAATAATAGACAAAATAACACAGAGGATGGACAGAGGCCTCCATGTTTATCCATATGCGTCTAAAATGTAAGGCAGAAATGAGCATTTACTCATGTTTTGGCGTTGACTTAGAGGTAGAGGCAGGATGACAGCACCACCTGCAGTCCAATATCTTCTGTACAGTATCCCCAGTGTGTGATAATGAAAAGACCCCCTCGTCCTGGTTCATGGTCAGGTATAAAAACAAACAAAACTTTTGTCTTTAAAAACCAAGTATTTTAGAATAGGCAAATGACAACTTTTCCATGTTACTTTATGTCTCCATAAAGTCATCTCTCGCTATGTAATTCTGCACCACTTTAACTTCCAATTTATGTTGTTGTGAACATCTCAAACAACTTTACACAAACTACCCAAAGTAAGAATTAGCATTATGTACTAGAGAAGGAGAAATTAGAGAAGACTGAAGAAGAAAAGAGTGTAGCAGGTGGAGCTCATCCTCAAATAGGGCTGTGCAATTATTCAAATTTTAATCAAGAACGAGTTTCAGTCATGTCTGATTGTCAATGATCAGCTTGGGTCTTTTAATCGAGAGGTCCACAGCCAGTGCTCTGTCAGTAAAAGCATGTGGACTGCAGCAAAGTTCAGATTTTGGACGAAGAAATTCAACTGTATTTTTTGTGTTAAATGGTACTGATTAAGCTTATGTTTATGTTAATTAAATCAATACTGATAGCCATTTTGTTTTGTTTCTGAAAAATAAAAAAAATTAAACTGGGCAATATGAGGAATTAAAATTATAATATTTTTTTGCTATATCACCAAATATTATCCTGAAATTAGGCTGTAAGAAGGATGCGCATTGATATATTGCAAAAGGACCAATCCCATTGACACAAAGTGTTCACATAAAAAAACACACAGTTGTAGGAGGTGGTGTAGTGGGTTAAGTCTGTCCCCTGCCAAGCACAGGGCCACTGGTTCAGTTCTAACTCAAAATGCATCATTATTTAACATTCACATTAGAAAACATTATCCACCATACCATGCCTACTCAAGTCAAAGTGGTTTACAAAAGAATTACATTTAGAAAAATCACTGTATGATTGATGTATGATTTAATTTAATTTACTTTTAATCTCAGAAAAGTTGAACACGGACAGCCAAACTGAAAAGGGTTTATTGATCTATAAAAATATTTTCACAGTATAATTGCACCAAAAACAAATTCAAAGGTACAACAGGTAAGAAGTAAAATGTGGTTACCCAGTTTTGTTGATTTTGGTGCTTTTATGAGAATGACTTTTGCTGAAAAGCAGTTACGACTGTGTAAAGATTGTGTTTTTTGTTTTTGTTTTTGTTTTTTTGTGTGTGAGGGATAGGTGTTTAAAATGTAATTTGACTGGAATATGGGGCTGAACAATATTACATAAAATATACAAAACATACAACAAAGACAAAGGGGGTCTATTGTTCTGGACCACAGGGCTTTAGGGGCCCAGAATTTTCATATTCGTGTATATTAGCAGGGGGCCCATGGGAGGCTTCTTGCCCCAGGCCCCCAAATTTCTGTCAACAGACCTGCTCCGGACTATTCTGTTAATGCGTATTTAAGCCCTCTGACTTTCACAGAGGTTAATACCGCCTTTAATTTCCTAAGCTGTTTTCCTTGTAAGTTAAATGCTTTGTTTTTCTAATTTGACATTTGACCTCTTTTTCAGAACTGCTACCAGAAGGAAGCTGTGTTGCGTCCGGAGAACAACCAAGTCATCAACCTGACCACGCGCTACACGTGGTCGGGCTGCATGGTGAGATCTTGTTTTTATTTAGCATCTGTAACACTTAAAGGTCCTATATTATTCCAAATTTACTCTTGTGAGCTTTTAGCCATGTTATAATGCTGTTTCCACCTCAAAAACATACCTGGAGTTGTGTTTTGTTTCATTCACAAATGTTTGAGTATTCCTTTATTATTAGTCTGTGTATATCTCCAAAGCTCAAAATATTCTGATACTCCTTGTGATATCATGTAGTGATCGTTTTCAAGTGAACAGCTACCTTTTATGCTTAGTTCAGTAGAGATTGGCAAAGGCTGAAATTCTCCAGATGATTCTAGTTAAAGTGTTTGGAGTTTAAAGATGCACTGTGTAATTTTTCTGGTGGAGGGTCACCTGATTGTCTCCATGGAGGTGTTATTGCGTTTAGAATGTTCCACGGTAGAGATTAAACTCTCAAGGTAGAGATTAAAATCTCAAGGGAAACAACTATAGGCTATATTACAGGTCAGATCTGTGGCGAGGCAATATTCACTGAGAGAATTATTGTATAAGCAAAAGGAACACCAGTAATTACTAGCAAAGCAATAACATCTCCATGGAGACAAGCAGGTGATGGACCCTCCACCAGAAAAGTTGCTCAGTGCACCTTTAAAAACACAGTGGAGCACATTACTGGTGGAACAGTGTTTTCTGTTTGAGAATAGAACACAGCCTAAATATGCAGGATTTGTGTGTTAAACATGTGTGAATCGAACAAAACACAGTCCAGGTCTGTTTGTGATGAGGAAACAACATTCTAACATAGATCAAAAAATATCATAAAATGGGCCTTTTAACACACTTCCAGCCTCCTCCTCCATACTTCACAACTTCTCCGCCACAACCCTGACCTCCCTGTGCTTTTCTGTAACACATTATCGCAACACCGCTCATATTTTATCCTTGCTATTTTAAAAGGAATATGTAAAACAGGAAAAAAACACAAGTTGGAGCTAATGGCCTGTAATGTGTTTTCATAACATTTCTCTGCTGATGATGCATATCCTGGCTTCATCTCATCATCGCCAACACCTTTTTGGAGACCCTTTTGTGTCTTTTTAATGGGGACTTGTTTGCTTGGCACATTAAGGAAGTGTGATTTGCCACTGCTGTCGTGTGCCGTATTGGATCACACATCGGCGTCTATTTTGGGGTGTGAAATATGTTTTTATGTGGATGTCTCAAGCTCCCACTCATCTGCGATAATTCAATGTAGCTCTGAGGTACAAGCGTTGTTGGATCATTTATTTTGTTGATTCCATTTTTTCAGGTGGAGGGAGATGAGAATGAGGAGGTGCTGAGTTGCGTGGGAGGCCGCAGTTTTCGCTCGGTGAGGGAGAGGTGGTGGTACATCGCGCTGAGTAAATGTGGGGTAAGTAACGACCTTTGAACTCCTCCCAGACGCTGGCTGATATGGTCCACTAGTGTGCGTGCAGGTGTGTGGGTGAGACAAAAGGGTGGGGCAAATGGACCCATGCTTAGTGGTGATGTGAGGGATAGGATGGCTGTTTGTTTTTTGTTGTAATGTCTGGATTTTTCATTTTCAGTATATATCATTTGTAGGAAAATAGATGTTACAATTTAATGGACTGCAGAAACACGCAAAAGTATTGCTGGAATCCAGAAAACACTCTTCTTCAATATTTTATGAAGATGTGAGTCTGGTTATTCGTGAATCTCCCCATTTTCAAATGGATTGACAAGTGGATGAGCCAATCGGGAATATGCACGGTCTTTCCGTATTGGAAAAAATAAAGGAAAAAATATATCACAGAGGGATGAAAAACATAGCAGATTTCTGCAGAATCAATGAGTGAAGAACTAAACTCTGTCAATCTGAGGTGAGAAGAATTAGATTTTATTTGTAAAACATAGGTGCTCAATGGCAAGTACAGCACAGTATCTCAGTCAGAATAAACATATATGATACTGCTGCTGCTGCTGCTGCTGCTACTACTACTACTACTACTACTACTACTACTACTACTACTACTACTACTACTACTACTACTACTACTACTACTACTACTACTATTTATTGGGGTCATAACTGAAATCATAATTATCTGATTGATACTATCTTTATGTAAATCAAAAGTTAAAGATGCACTAGGTCACTTTTCTGTTGTGGGCCCTGGTCCATCACTTACTTCAATTCACTTCAATTAAAGGCATCTTTATGGCTAAACGAAATACCTTAGAAAATAGTATATTCTTTACGTAAGCAAGGTTGCTTCTTCACAGATGTGACCTGTAACTTGGCCTAGTGGCATCACTTGTTTGTCTCCATTGTGACAGATTAATACGTTTAATATCATTTTCATAGAGAGCGTGTGACCGACCCTCCATTAAAGAAGTAACATAACACACCATGATGATGTTGTATCATCTTATTTTCATTAAGTTATGAATTATGTTTTGTAATTAATTTTTAAAAGCCACTAGTATCAGCAACAATATCATTAAGAAAATAATTTAATGAATTACCTGACAGAAAAATAATAAAAAATAATATTGCAACAGCTGTTTACGTGATGGCTATGTTGAAAAATCTCTCAATAAACTGCATCCTCACATTCTTTTGAACTGTTTATTTATTCATAAACGGAGTTCTATTTCAAGTGGCAATATAGTAACATTTATTTCCTTAATAGCACTTCATGTTTGGACAAAGACAGCTGTTTTTGAAGTTTTTAAAATAAACTTTTATGTTGTTTTTATCAGACAATATTATAACTAGGTAGGATTTTTAGCATTTAGTAGCATTTTTCTTTCTGTTAGATTTGGTATTGGCCACAAGCCTTATATTTAAAGGTTCTATATTATGCAAAATTGACTCATTGTAGCCATGTTAAAATGCTGTTACCTCATTAAAAACATACCTTTATTTGTGTTTTGTTTTTCACATATGTTTTGACTAATCCTTCATTATAAATGTGTCTACATCTCCAAGACTCAAAATGCTCTATTCCACCTTGTGATGTCATGGAGCAGTAGTTTTCAAGTTACAGCTACCTTTTACCTTTCGTTTAGTTCACACTGGCAATTCCAGGACTTAAATTATCTAAATGATTCTGTTGAAAGGGTTTGGGGTTTAAAAACACAGTGGAGCACTTCCTGTATTACCACATGACTGCTGGAACACCGTGTTTTTTGTTTGAGAGAAGAACTCAGCCTAAATATGCAAGGTTCTGTGTTAGTGTGTGAATGAAACAAAACTTCAGGTATGTTTGTGATGAGGGAACATTATAACATAGATCAGAAAATAGCAAAATATGGGTCCTTAAAATGCATGTAATTGTATATAGATAGATTAAAAACACAAGTTAGTATTGCTTAACATCTATGACATGGTAATTACAAAAAGCCTGGCAGACTGCAGTTGCTAATAGCGTTGCAGTTTCTTACATCACGTGGAAGTTTTTTTTTGCACCAGTTAACTTATAAATAATATCCAAAATCTTGCACAAAATATATGTTGCTCTGTCTCTGACTTTTGTAGCACAATTTCTCAAACAGAGATCAGTGCATCAGAATCAAAGCCTTGACTATTAAATCGACCAAGATTTGGAGACTGTTGTATTTCCCATCTAAACAGGCCTATTATCATCTGCATTGTTTTGATTTGTATAGATACACTGTTGTATAGGGAGCTGGGACGCTTGCTGAAATGGATTGAAATTGCCTGTTTTGCTGCCCCAAATGCATTTTCTACTTTAACTCGCAATCATTATAGTCTAAGAAAGATGTTTTGGAGTCAGCAGCAGCATCACATATTGAAATGGGGAAAGCGGAGGCACAAACCACACGGCACCCCAAGGAAGATTCTATGATGTTTTAAGGCTTGTTTTTGCGCTAGCTCTCCATAAATTTTAGATTAACTGGAGTATAATATTTATCCGTGCTAGTGTTTTTTTGGTTGACTTTTTAGTATTTTGTACAAGGCTAAGGGAAAAATCCAAGCTCCTAACAGTGATTTATGGTGGGACAAGTAAATACTACATGTAGATGGGGTGTATAGAGATGAGTTATGGTAGTTGCTTGAGTGAGTTTTAATGTAGGCGATATATAATGCGTAATGGTTTTGATCAGTGATAAATGCTGTGAATAATGCTGTGTGGCCTTTATAGTTCTGCGTTTATTCTAACAGAGCTCCAAGGGGGATCTTAAATGTTATACTCTCAGCCATATAAAGTCATTATAAAAGGTAAATGTGCTTTAAAATGAATAGGCTGTAGGAGGTAATGACTATTTTTGGTTTAACTAAATGTTTTTAAAGTTTCGCTACTGTGTTTAACTGCACTGCACTATATGAGTTTAATCTGCTTTTTAAAAATCATAAATATTGTAATGACAAAACATAACAATTATAATGTAAAATATTTATTTCTTGGTACCTTTTATATAAAGTTTCTTATGCTAAATGAAAACAATGTTGTGGAAACACTTTTTGAATAATAATGCCCACACACTTTTTGCTATTGTTTTATTTTAAAATTAATATAATTATAAAGAATCTGTAATCTGTTGTGCTCAAAACAAGAAAGCAAATATTGACTGAATGTAGTTTGACAGTCTGATTTTAGACTATTAAAAATGCTAACATCCCAAAGGTGAATGGCTAGCATATGGAGCTGCATTAGACAGCAGAGCACGCTGTGTTTGTATATGGGGCCTGTTGTGTTTACAATTAAAGCATAAATGTGCAACAGCTGCTCCGCCATAACCTCCATCACAAACGTAATCCTCAGTCCATCTGCTGTCTATGTGTTTATTATACAAAACTACTAAACTTTGTAACTATAGAAACTTATAACTCACATGAAAATTTTTATTCTTGTAGGAGTATGGAGCTCCAAACTTTAAACAATGTCTGATCACAAACTGTCATGATAACAAATTTTCAAGTGCAATAAATTGCTGAAATTAATATAGACGATAAACAACAATAATGCAACCAATTTATGCCACTCACACAAAAACCCTAGCCAGGCTGCTCCACCTAGTGCCTCTGCTCAATTTCATTTCTCTCCAGCAACCAAGTCAGGAATCAAAATACAATAGACGGTTCGCAAAAACCCCAGAAGTGCAAGTTCGGGCACCAGCAAATCAGCGAAGAGCCATATATTCTGTGTTGTCAACGATTCCCGAGATCGAGGATTTAAAGCCGGAATAAAAAGAATGTTTGGTGAATTTTATCATGGGGAAAGACATTATTGCCCTTCTTCCTACGGGATTTGGGAAAAGCTTCATATACCAGTTAGCCCCGTCAGCGGCGTATTACATACGTGACTACCAAATAGCAGATTAAATGATAAAAAGTACCCGCTTGCCGTCGAGCGAACAAATTCTAACACTGCGAGGTCAGACGGATTCTACGAAGTGAAACTGGCTGATGATTCAGACTACAAAAACCCAAGAACAAGCATTAAACCACAAAAACTGTTTTAAATCTACAATATTGTAAATAAATCATGAGCTAAATAAATAAATCAATTAGCTGAATGAATGAAACACTTAGGTACTTATTTTTTATCTGTAATGAGTCTTAGAAGCAATTAGTTCACCTTTTTATGGCTTAAATCTTATCGTATAAAAAAAAAAAAAAAAAGGAAATCCAGTAGTGCAAAAAAAAGTACACATGATAAATACTGACCTCAAAAAATTATTGTTACCAGCACAATAAGTTGATATAGTAATTATTGTGATGTGTCTAACCTTTGCACAAAGTGTAAAATGGTTTGCCACCTTTAAACGTTGTGTTTTTATTGTCCCTCTAGTGAAATGTTGTCTTTCAATGCTTCAGACAAACCTAGTATCAATTCTAAATAGTATTTGACTAACTTAACTGCCCGTATATATGAGTAGTTTATTATGTCAGACTAATAATTTGACAATATTTTTGCACTTTGTTATTATAGTTATTATTTTATATTGTGATAAGTGAGCTACTGTGTCTAAGTACATTCTCTTGTGCATCAATAAAGTTTGTCTAAGTATAAGTTAATAATAATATGATATCACATTGAAAGGTCTAATACCACTATGCAAGCCACTTCCTTTACATTTCATTTCATTTATTTTATTTGATCAATGTATAACTCTTCACAGTCTACATACATTAGATTGAGCCATTTCTCCCCGGTCTACCTCTGTATCATTCCCCATAGAGAGCCTTAGTAAAACTGTGCTAAACATGGCCCTAGACTCCAAAGTGCACTGTAGCCTATTGATTACTTACACTTAAGGGACTTCTTCTCAGCATTCGATGAGCTTGTCGCAGTCAGAGGCTGCAAAGAGGCTGTTGCTTGGAGCCGAACATTGCGATGCCTTTTACACCGGGGCATCTGGAGTAGGAGTGATGAATTGGTG